CACGCACGCACGCACGCACGCACGCACGCACGCACGCACGCACGCACGCACGCACGCACGCACGCACGCACGCACGCACGCACGCACGCACGCACGCACGTACGCACACAGGGTATCCCAAAGCAATGAGGACTATTTTCGTGTAGATAGAGCGGTCTAAACTGAGTTCTCTACCATTTTGCAATTTTCGCAATAGTTAACGAGTTATTATTTCTTAAAAATCACCGTATTAACCCGGCTCACCAGCAAATGCAAACGCACGGTAAGATACTCCCACTCGGCGATCATCATTGATAAGCGCGTGAGGAATTGTTTACTTTACTTCAAATGGTAATAATTATGCACGAGCCGTTCGTCGAATACCCTATATATTTATTACACTTAAAGTTAATGTTTAATTTATATTAATAAAAGAGATGATAATTTAAAATTAATTAATTTAAAATAATGTTTAATCAATACTTTATGTACAATATATACAGTACAAGAATTATAATATTTCTCACATGACCATCTATGAAATCAATCGCGATACCTATTGTGCAAGTCTCATTTTAAACTAATTGTTTGTACGATTCCTCATAGCTATAATGAATTTATACTTCAAATTGTTTAACAGTTTGGCATAAAAAAGTAACATTATGCGTGTACACGCACAGATCACATCATTTTATAGCCACATATTTAAATCACATATTTAACTCAGTACAATGGTATTAAATTATTATACTTGATATTTTAATATATTACTTTTTTAAGCATCTTTTGTTTATTTTGCAGGTTTATTGCAGCACTTGTCTTCACGAATGCCAAAAAACGCATTTAATGCCTTTGAACGGAGGCGATCAACAATTTTAGCAGAAAAAGAAAGACACAAACTCAAAAACCATATGATATTTATGATAATGCTGATTTGAGACTTTCAAATGATCAAACTCTTCAATCGAGAGAGATAACTTCCCGTCAATGTCACTATGATAATCTAGGATTTAAACAGGGGAGAATAATAACATGAGAATATATGATATATAAAATAATAAACTTATTCTGCAATGTAAGGAAAAAA